GGAGTTGTCTATGCAGCCTCGCTTGGCTACGTTTTCAAGGGGCTTCTATTTTTAATTTGCAGAAATGAAAGACTACTGGAAATGGTTTTCATCCTCATCATCCTCCGTAGGATGCTGAATAAGCTAACTTAAGATAGTAGTGGTGTTTAGGGGGAGGGGTGAGGCAATCTAAGCGTGGCACTGAGCCGCTAACAAATCACCAGAATATAAAATTGCAACAGGGCGATACTTCATAAAGATTGAAGTATCTGGCCTGACCTAAGGATTTCTTTACCTAAATCATACACATTATGTGTTAACTACGTAACCTAATGATACCCACATTTCTAGAGGGAAAACCTAACTGATCTTATGAATCATTATTGTTATGGTCTATATAAACATATATAGGGTATGATATATAAGAGAAATTAAATTCAGGTATGTAGGAATAACTCATAGATGTTCATTTAAAAGGTAGAAAATTCATTTTGGTATTAGTATTATAATGAGAAAGAAATTGCTTGTTTAAAACCATTTTTTTCTGTTGTGATTACACCCACTGAATAAATGAATATACTTAAGACTAGATTTTTGCTTAATTGTGGTTGCTTTATTTTAGATTTAATACTCAAATTTTTGAGATTGTGTTTTACATTCTCAAATCCATTTAAGTAAAAAAGTTGATTTTGATTCTTCAGACTGATGTTTAAATTCTAACACTATTAATTTTTTTCTTTGCGTACACTAATTAAAAGATCACTTTTTAAGAGACCATACATTTGCTTCAGATCATACAATTTCATTAGGAATTATTTCAAAGTTTATTAGGTGACTTTTTTTTTTTTAAGGAGAGTCGCCTTTGCCAAGCTGATACAGTGACACAATCATAGCTCTTATAGCCTCAACTCTGTGGGCTCAGGATCCTCCTGGTTTCAAGCTCTCCCAAGAGCTGGACTATAGGTGCACACCACCTGCACCGCTGATTTTTAAAAATTTTTGTACAGAGGAATTTGCCCACTCCCGCAGCCTGTGCGTGTTCCCCGTAGACCTGCGTGGTTAAGCTCGTCTTTTGAAATGGAGAGCAGTGATTCCAAGTGGACTCTGTGCTTCGAAAGTCACAGCCAAGGGATACCTTCGTTTCTGTTCCTTTTGTGCACGATTGTCTTGACTTCGGAAAATATTTAAACTTTCGTGCATGGCAAAACTTTTTAGTGCATTTTTACATTTATGCGAAAATTGTACATTTCTCCATCTGTAGTATTTTCTCTTTTTTAATAAGCTCGCTTGTTTTATGGGTCTATTATTATTTTGACTTATGGGAAATACTGTATTTACTTTCTGTTTTTTCTTTACTCAAATAATAACTATAACTTGCTACTAATTAGGGCTGTGGGAGATTTTTTCCCCTGCAAAATGAAAATATCTTTTTCTCCCCAGATTATATTTTGCTTATGTAAAGTTTCAGATAATATATTAAACTGTAAAAAAAAAAGTTACCTGTCTTTGGCCCACCCAAAGATAAGTTAGAAGAAGGACAAAATTACTTAATAGCCTTGTAATTAGTAATGAATTTGCATCCATGTTATCACAGGCTGATAGTTTAATGCTAAAGCACAAATTCATATACTCAGTTGATGAGACGCCAAAACAATGGTCATTGATAGCTGTCTTAAAAAGTCACCATATAGGTGAGGCATGGTGGCTCATACCTATAATCTAGCACTTTGAGAGGCTAAGGCAGGAGGATCGTTTGAGGCCAGGAGTTCAATACCAGCCAGGGCAACATAGCAAAATTCCATCTGTACAAAAATTTTTAAAAATCAGCGGTGCATGGTGGTGTGCACCTATAGTCCCAGCTACTTGGGAGGTTGAAACAGGAGGATCCCTGAGCCCAGGAGTTTGAGGCTATAATGAGCTATGATTGTGTCACTGTATCCAGCTTGGCAGAGGGGGACTCTCTTAAAAAAAAAAAAAGTCACCATATAAACTTTGAAATATTTCTAATGAAAGTTGTATGATCTTGAAAGCAAAGTATGGTCTCTTTAAAAGTTGATCTTTTTACATAGTGTAGCAAGAAAAAAAATTAATAGGTGTTAGATTTTAAACATCAGTCTGATAATCAAAAATACTTTTTTTACATTAGATTGGATTTTGAGAATGTTAAAACAATCTTCAAAAATTGAGTATTAAATCTAAAAGTAAGCAAGCCACAATTAAGCAAAAAAGTCATAGTACTTAAGTATAATTCATTTTATTCAGTGGGTGTAATCCACAAAAAATGGTTTTTTAAAAGGCAATTTCTTTCTCATTAGATATCACTAAATACCAAAATGAATTTTCTATTTTAAATGACATATAATGAGTTAGTCCTACATACTGAATTTAATTTGCTTTTATAAGTTCAATTACCCTATATATGTTCTATATAGACAATACAATAATGATTCATAAGATCTAGTTAGGTTTCCTCTAGGAAATGTGGGTATTTAGGTTACGTAGTTAAGACATAATGTTAATGAGTTAAGAGTAAAGAAATCTTAGGTCAGGCCAGATACTTCAATTTTTATTGAAGTATCCCCCTGTTCAATTTTTATATTTGGTGAATTTTGTTAGGGCTCAGTGCACGGCTTGATCTGCCTCACCCCCTCCCTAAACACCACTACTATCTTAAGTACTAGTATCAGCATCTACTGAGGATTGTATGAGGATTGAAACCATTTCCGATAGTCCTTTCATTTCTGCAAATTAAAAAATAAAGCCCTTGAAAACGCGTAGCCAGCGAGGCTGCATAGACACACTGCGGGACAGTGAGCAGTGGTAACTCGGGCTCACTGTAGTAGTCAAAGGAACATGGACTTCGATGAGACGCGATTTGCTGTCTGCGGTCATTACTGGGTGCTGCGGGCGGGACTCTTAGGGAAATCGGAGCTCGGAGCGACCCTTGTAAAATAACACTAAAACCGCCTGCTGGCGGGTTAGCTGTGCGAAGTCCGAGAACCGAGACCACGGGCACCTGCCGTCCGCCCTTCCCCAGGACTAAGCCCGTCCGGGACAGCGGGGTCCGCAGGTGTGTGGGGTCCCGGTCTTACCAGCCTCTTGGGTCCGCAGAGGGGTGCGTCCCGGTCCTCCCTGGCCCTACCAGCTGTGTTGGGTCTTTGGAGGCTTGGGACACTGGGGGGAGCGGGTCCGACCCGGCTGGCCCTGCAGGGGCACTGAGGCTGAAGCCGGGCTGCCTCCGCATCGGGAGCCGCCGCCACCCTCGTTGACTTTTCAAAGGGCCCGCGCCCGCACCGGTCGCCCCGCCCTGGCACCCTCGCCTCCGCGGGTGGAGGGCGCCAGGGGGCTGTGTCGGGGCAGAGGCCCAGCCCCTCCCCCCACGCCGTGGGTGAGGAGGGAAGGCCCCGGTGGCCCCCCAAGACCCCGTGCTTGGGGCGATCTCACCTCCACAGCGCTGGCGTGGGGCGCGAAGCTTTGGCGAGGCCAAGCCAGGGCGCCCCAGCCCGGCCTGCTCCTGGTCGGACTGTTGGGGAGTGGCGCTGCGCCCATGCTGGCGCCTTCCTCCTATGAAATATAAGAACCTTAGAACTTTAACATCATTCAACCCCTCATGATTTATATGTTACTATTATGTATCTGAATTCTTTATTAAATTCCTGCCTGATAGAAGAGGGCTTGTTTAGAATTATTGTTGTGTTCTACAGTCAGTACTTGTTTGTATTTCCCACGCTTTTTACTAGTTTCTCCGTTATTCATAGCTGCTTTTATCCTTCTGGGACTATTTTCCTTTTGCTTAAAGTACCTCCTTTGGAATGGCTATTACATGAAAGTCTGTTGATAACGAACACTAAGTTTTTGTTTACCTGGAAATATCTTTACTTCACTGTCATTCTTGAAAGATGTTTTTGCTGAATGTGGAAGTTTGTGTTGGCAATTATTTTCTTATAGGGTGCTGAAGATTTCATTCCTTTGTCATTTGGCTTGAGTTACTGCTGTTGAGAAGTCACCTGTCAGTCTGCCAATTCCTTTTTCTCTGTTTCTGTTTTTATTTTTTGTCTTTAGCTTTTTGCTGTTTCACTGTAAAATGTATTTATGTTGCTTGGTATTGTTTGGCTTCTTAAATCTGTAAATTGGGGATGTTTTTTAAATGTTTATTGGCTATTCATGATTTCTGAAATGTGAATTTCCATTTTTATATTCTATCTTAATGTATAAATAAATATTTTATTACCTACATAGTAAATAGTCTCTTCTGATCTTTTGCTTTTCTTTTCATATTGTTTCCTATAGCTTCTCCAACAGAATACATTGCCACACTTGTGGATTTTTGATAATTTGCTAGAAGTGAGAATAAATCTCTGGAATTGGTCTTTTGGAAGAGAGGGTAGAGTTATGACTACTTTTAGTTTTTTTAGTTATTGGTTTATTTCAATGTTTCTTCCATTTAGACCAGCATTGGTAAATTATATTTTTATAGCTTTCAAATTTATTTGTATAAATTGTATATGATCATTTATAATTTTAGAAATACTTTCTCTGTACTCGTGGTTACATTCCTTTTGTTCCCAATATTTGATTTTTTTTTCTTGTTTGTATTTGCTAAAAGATGATCTGTTTTATTTTATTAGTCTTTTCAAAGAACCAACTTTTGTTTTTATTGACTAACTCAGTTGGCTTTTTTAATTGGCTTTTTAAAATTACTGCTTTTGTCATCAGAAATGTGTCTGGGGTGTATTTTCTGTTTTCCCCTAATAAGATTTTAATAACATTTAATTGGAGAACTAAATCCCTAGCTAATACTTTGTATAAAGATTCACTCCCCTCCTTGGCATGGTGTAATAGACCCTGTTTAGAACCTTTGATGTACACCTGCTCCCTCATTAGGAGAAGGAATATTGAAGACCCCAACTCCTGAGGCCTAGTTTGTCCAGTTAAGGCACCTACTTCACCCGTGTGAATATCCCTTACTTGTCTGTGCCCAGCACATTTTTGGGTGGGATATATCTAGAGGTAGTGGCAATAAAAAATTGTTCTGGCATGGATCAGATGTCACGTTCTCTTTTGACACATGTAATAATTAAGAGAATCCAAAGGTGAGTCTTAATATTGTTCCTGAGAGAAATTTATTCTCAAGATTTTCTTTAGAAAGGAAAAATTAACTTAATAGCCTTGTATATAGTAATGAATTTGCATCCATGTTATCACAGGCTGATAGTTTAATGCTAAAGCACAAATCATATACTCAGTTTGATGAGACGCCAAAACAATGGTCATTGATAGCTGTCTTAAAAAGTCACCATATAGGTGAGGCATGGTGGCTCATACCTGTAATCCTAGCACTTTGAGAGGCTAAGGCAGGAGGATCGTTTGAGGCCAGGAGTTCAATACCAGCCAGGGCAACATAGCAAAATTCCATCTGTACAAAAATTTTTAAAAATCAGCGGTGCATGGTGGTGTGCACCTATAGTCCCAGCTACTTGGGAGGTTGAAACAGGAGGATCCCTGAGCCCAGGAGTTTGAGGCTATAATGAGCTATGATTGTGTCACTGTACTCCAGCTTGGGCAGAGGGGGACTCTCTTAAAAAAAAAAAAGGTCACCATATAAACTTTGAAATAATTCTAATGAAAGTTGTATGATCTTGAAAGCAAAAGTATGGTCTCTTTAAAAAGTTGATCTTTTTACATAGTGTAGCAAGAAAAAAATTAATAGGTGTTAGATTTTAACATCAGTCTGATATCAAAATCTTTTTTTACATAGATTGGATTTTGAGAATGTTAAAACAATCTTCAAAATTGAGTATTAAATCTAAAAGTAAGCAAGCACAATTAAGCAAAAAAGTCATAGTACTTAAGTATATTCATTTTATTCAGTGGGTGTAATCCACAAAAAATGGTTTTTAAAAAGGCAATTTCTTTCTCATTAGATACTACTAAATACCCAAAATGAATTTTCTATTTAAATGACATATAATGAGTTAGTACATACTGAATTTAATGCTTTTATAAGTTCAAATTACCCTATATATGTTCTATATAAGACAATAACAATAATGATTCATAAGATCTAGTTAGGTTTCCTCTAGGAAATGTGGGTATCTTAGGTTACGTAGTTAAGACATAAGTTAATGAGTTAAGAGTAAAGAAATCCTTAGGTCAGGCCAGATACTTCAATTTTTATTGAAGTATCCCCCTGTTCAATTTTTTATTTGGTGAATTTTGTTAGGGCTCAGTGCACGGCTTAGATCTGCCTCACCCCCCTCCCTAAACACACACTACTATCTTAAGTACTAGTATCAGCATCTACTGAGGATGTATGAGGATTGAAAACCATTTCCAGTAGTCCTTTCATTTCTGCAAATTAAAAAATAAGCCCTTGAAACCGTAGCCAGCGAGGCTGCATAGACAACTGCGGGACAGTGAGCAGTGGTAACTCGGGCTCACTGTAGTAGTCAAAGGAACTGGACTTCGGATGAGACGCGATTTGCTGCTGTGCGGTCATTACTGGGTGCCTGCGGGCGGGACTCTTGGGAAATCGGAGCTCGGAGCGACCCTTGTAAAATAACACTAAAACCGCCCTGCTGGCGGGGTTACTGTGCGAAGTCCGAGAAACCGAGACCACGGGCACCCTGCCGTCCGCCCTTCCCCAGGACTAAGCCCGTCCGGGACAGCGGGGTCCGCAGGTGTGTGGGGTCCCGTCTTACCAGCTCTTTGGGTCCGCAGAGGGTGCGGTCCCGGTCCTCCCCTGGCCCTACCAGCTGTGTTGGGTCTGTGGAGGCTGGGACACTGGGGGAGCGGGTCCCGACCGGCTGGCCCTGCAGGGGCACTGAGGCTGAGGCGGGCCTGCCCTCCGCACTCGGAGCGCCGCCCACCCTCGTTGACTTTCCAAAGGCGCCCGCCCCGCCCGTGGACCCTCGCCTCCGCGGGTGGGAGGGGGCCAGGGGTGTGCGGGGCAGAGCCCAGCCCCTCCCCCCGACGCGTGAGTGAGGAGGGAAGGGGCCCGGTGGCCCCCAAGACCCCGTGCTTGGGGATCTCACCTCCCACAGCGCTGGGCGTGGGGGCGAAGCTTTGGCGGGCCAAGCCGGGCGCCCCAGCCCGGCCTGCTCCTGGTCGGACTGTGAGTGTGCTGCAGCTGGCGCCACTCCCGAGCTGTGCGTGTTCCCGTAGACCTGCGTGGTTAAGCTCGTCTTTTGAAATGGAGAGCAGTGATTCCAAGTGGACTCTGTGCTTCGAAAGTCACAGCCAAGGGATACCTTCGTTTCTGTTCCTTTTGTGCACGATTGTCTTGACTTCGGAAAATATTTAAACTTTCGTGCATGGCAAAACTTTTTAGTGCATTTTTACATTTATGCGAAAATTGTACATTTCTCCATCTGTAGTATTTTCTCTTTTTAATAAGCTCGCTTGTTTTATGGGTCTATTATTATTTTGACTTATGGGAAATACTGTATTTACTTTCTGTTTTTTTTACTCAATAATAACTATAACTTGCTACTAATTAGGGCTGTGGGAGATTTTTTCCCCTGCAAAATGAAAATATCTTTTTCTCCCCAGATTATATTTTGCTTATGTAAAGTTTCAGATAATATATTAAACTGTAAAAAAAAAAGTTACCTGTCTTTGGCCCACCCAAAGATAAACTTGATAGAATATTACCTGCTGGGAACTCTGCTGACACTGGGGGGCTTTGGTGACCAAGACAAACAGTATCGGTGTCTATGTCTCTATAAACCTTACATTCTAGTGGGGAAGATAGACCTCCCACTCAAAAAAAAAGTAAGTTGATAAAATAATTACATGTTGCAATGAGTGCTTTAAAGAAAACACTTTTGCCGGGCATGGTGGCGCATGCCTGTAGACCCAGCTACTTGGGAGGCTGAGGCAGGAGGATTGCTTGAGCCCAGGAGTTTGAGGTTGCTGTGAGCTAGGCTGACGCCAGGGCACTCTAGCCCAGGCAACAGAATGAGACTGTCTCAAGGAGAAAAAAAAATGAAAAAAAAAAAAAAATACTTTTGTTGGCGTGATCAGAGAAGGTTTATTTGAGGGGACAAATTCACTGAAGGAAGAGGAGAGGGAGCTCCACCATGGGCAGAATGGGAAAAAGAGCATTCCAGCATGCACAAAGGCCTTAAAAGACGAAAGAGCTGTAAGTGGAAAGATGAGTGTACTCCTGCAGTAAGTCTGGCAGGGAGGTGGGACAAGGTGAATTATAGGAAACCAGCAGGGCATAGACTATACTTGTCCTTGGCAGGTACCATGTGTTGTGTCCTGAGGGGAGTGAGAGTCTGTGGTAGGGTTTTAAGTAGAAGAGGAAAATGATCTGGAAAACTAACTAATTCTTTAAGTAAATACATATTGAAACCCTGTGGTGTACCAGATGCTGTTCTGAGCCTTGGTGAAACAGTGTTGAAAAGGACAGCAACAAAGTGGTGGTGGGCATAATCAGATAAGCAAGAAAAATAACAGATATTGATGAGTGTTAGGAGGAAGATGACCATTGTTTAAATTGTGGTGTATGTTCTCTAAGACTTCTTTTTTATAGCCTGCTTTTCTTTCCCCTAAACAATTTATGGTAGGACATTTTTCACTGTTAATAGAATAAACAGTTTTCTTTTATTTGAGGGCATCTTAATTTTTGGACTAAGAGGTAAAAATAGCATGCATAAATGAAAAAATCCTGTGCAGCAATGAAAATTTACATATTACAAGGCATCTGCTGGAAAAGAGTAATATAGTAACTTCCTTTTGATAGTCTGACTTGTGGTTGTCTTCCTTCATCCCAGACCCCAACAGCCTTTTTGTGACTTTTTACTTTGACCTATTAATGTGATTACTTAAATTTATGGATTTACTATTTATTGAATAATTTCTTGCATTTGTAGAATGAACCGTAATTGATCTCTTAATATTTTAATGTCCTGATGGATTTTCTTTGGGAATACATATATTTAGGATTTTAGTATCAATATTCATAAGAAGAGCTAGGTCTATAGTTTTAATTTTTGTGTTTTCTTTGTCCAGTTTTGGTATTAGCATGTGATTGCTTTGTAAAAACAATTGAGAATCTTTATTCCTTTTTCTGAGTTTTGGGACAGATTAGATAGCCAAGTATTATTCTTTAATTCAGTTACCACATACATATTTCCAAAACACCCACTATGTACCAGGTATTGAGCTGGATGCTGGGTAATCAGTGGTATACAAAACAGACGTGGTTCCTATCATCATAGAGCTTGGTTATTAAGGGAAAAGACATCAATGAAATAATTATACATATGTAATTATAAAGCATGCTAAGCACTCCGAGTGAGGAGGAAAGGGTACTTTGAGAGAATATCATTAAAACTCTTACTTTAGATCGTACTTTTTATGTGCTTGGGTAAGTGGTTTTTTAGTAGATATGCACTAACAATTCTCTTTAACCAAATATGTATTGATTTGATGTGTAATTAGGGCTGTGATAGATATATAAGTAAATAAAATAAGGTCTTCATAATATAAATTAACATAAAATAATGGTAATGGCAGCTGTCATAGTAGATGGTAACACTTGGGTTAAGTACACACTTCTAGTTTAACATGTTCAATTGTACACACTCTTTGGAAATCTCTCTAAGATTATATATTAAAGGAATAAAGATATAAACACACAAAAATCAAGAGGAGAACAGAAGACAGATGAAATCAGTATTAGGGAAACTAGAAAGGAGGTGGGCAAGTAATAAATGATGCAGTGGATTAGAGAATGCCAAAAACTGAAGAGAGGTGAGCCAACAGGGAGGAAGAAGATTCTCTCCATAGAATCTGGAAAAGGCTTAGGAATTGGAGGTACCAAGTACAGTACTTCTTAAGGCAAGAATATAGGACAGGGTGGGAATTGGGATTGGATGATGATCTTTATAATTTTGACACCCTGGATGTCCTTCTCCACTCCCATACAACCAGGCAACTACCCTCTGCTCTACCCTGACAGAAGACAGAAGGTTTATTCTCGGGAGACATTAAGTAGGCAGGCTCCAGATAGCTGAAGTCCAGGTGAAGCATCTAAATGAAAACAAGGATTAAGTGAAAATCAGCATGCAGAACAGTAAAGCCCAGAGCTGTCTTTTTCTGTTTGGCTCCCAAAACTAAT